AATTTTCGACAGCCATTTGCACATAGAAGATAAGATGTCGGGACAAATTTTTTTTTTTCATTTGATAGTATATAACATAACCTTTGATTTGATATATGTTTAAAGGACGCAGTATTTCCGGAACATTTTCAAAAGTTCAGTTGAAAAAGATCTATGTTTTTTACAATATTTTTAAGTTTGAACCCCCCCTAAATAAGGGGGAATTGTCTAATTTTAATAAAAAGTATGTCAAATAGAAGATGTACTTATAATGTATTTAGAAAAAAAAAATTGTGCTGATACATACATTTTTCGAAAAGTTATAGCATTTTTAAGTTGAAAATTTAAAATCGAAAATCGAAAATTTTAACACAAAAATAGTGTTTTTTTAACTACGGCAGCCGTTTAAATGTAGAAAAAAAAGTGTCGGGACAAATTTTTTTTTTTCATTTTGTAGTACATAAAATAAGCTTTAATTTGATATATGTTTAAAGGACGCAGTCTTTCCGGAACATTTTCAAAAATTAAGTTGAAAAAATTAATTTTTGTAAAAAAGTTGCCATTTTAAATCCCCCCCAATGAGCAGGTTAAGTGATAGATTTTCAAAAAAATGATATCAAATGAAAGGTAAATATCTAAGGTTTTAGTATAAAAAAAAATTATGTTGATTTGTTGATTTTTCAAAAAGTTATGGAAGTTTTAAGAAAAAAAAGTGAAAAAATTTCGAAAATTAGCGATTTTTAAATTTGTAATTTTTTTGGATATTTCCCCCATTTGCGGGGAACGAGAGAATTTTTTTCAATTTTTAAAATAATAAAAGTTTTTTTAACTACGGCAACCGTTTATATGCAGAAGATAAAAGGTCGGGACAAATTTTTTTTTTTAATTTTATAGTACATAAAATAAGCTTTAATTTGATATATGTTTAAAGGACGCAGTATTTCCGGAACATTTTCAAAAGTTCAGTTGAAAAAGATCTATGTTTTTTACAATATTTTAAGTTTTGAACGCCCCCTATATAAGGGGAAATTGTCCAATTTTAATAAAAAGTATGTCAAATGAAAGATGTACTTATAATGTATTTAGAAAAAAAAAATTTGTGCTGATATATACATTTTTCAAAAAGTTATAGCATTTTTAAGTTGAAAATTTAAAATCGAAAATCGATAATTTTAACAGAAAAATAGTGTTTTTTTAACTACGGCAACCGTTTATATGCAGAAGATAAAAGGTCGGGACAAATTTTTTTTTTTAATTTTATAGTACATAAAATAAGCTTTAATTTGATATATGTTTAAAGGACGCAGTCTTTCCGGAACATTTTCAAAAATTAAGTTGAAAAAATTAATTTTTGTAAAAAAGTTGCCATTTTAAATCCCCCCTAATGAGCAGGTTAAGTGATAGATTTTCAAAAAAATGATATCAAATGAAAGGTAAATATCTAAGGTTTTAGTATAAAAAAAAATTATGTTGATTTGTTGATTTTTCAAAAAGTTATGGAAGTTTTAAGAAAAAAAAGTGAAAAAATTTCGAAAATTAGCGATTTTTAAATTTGTAATTTTTTTGGATATTTCCCCCATTTGCGGGGAACGAGAGAATTTTTTTCAATTTTTAAAATAATAAAAGTTTTTTTAACTACGGCAACCGTTTATATGCAGAAGATAAAAGGTCGGGACAAATTTTTTTTTTTAATTTTATAGTACATAAAATAAGCTTTAATTTGATATATATTTAAAGGACGCAGTATTTCCGGAACATTTTCAAAATTTAAGTTGAAAAAGTTAGTTTTTGTAAAAAAGTTGCTATTTTAAATCGCCCCTTTGAGCAGAATAAGTGTTAGATTTTCAAAAAAAAATGATATCAAATGAAAGTAAAATATCTAAGGTTTTTGTTAAAAAAAATTATGTTAATTTGTTGATTTTTGAAAAATTTAGGAAGTTTTAAGAAAAAAAAGTGAAAAAATTTCGAAAATTAGCGATTTTTAAATTTGTAATTTTTTTGGATATTTCCCCCATTTGCGGGGAACGAGAGAATTTTTTTCAATTTTTAAAATAATAAAAGTTTTTTTAACTACGGCAACCGTTTATATGCAGAAGATAAAAGGTCGGGACAAATTTTTTTTTTTAATTTTATAGTACATAAAATAAGCTTTAATTTGATATATATTTAAAGGACGCAGTATTTCCGGAACATTTTCAAAATTTAAGTTGAAAAAGTTAGTTTTTGTAAAAAAGTTGCTATTTTAAATCCCCCCTTTGAGCAGAATAAGTGTTAGATTTTCAAAAAAAAATGATATCAAATGAAAGTAAAATATCTAAGGTTTTTGTTAAAAAAAATTATGTTAATTTGTTGATTTTTGAAAAATTTATTAAGTTTTAAGAAAAAAAAGTGAAAAAAATGCGAAAATTAGCGATTTTTAAATTTGTAATTTTTTTGGATATTTCCCCCGTTTGCGGGGAACGAGAGAATTTTTTTCAATTTTTAAGGGTAATGTCCTCAACTAGATACGATTTGTGATCTTTTGACGTATTTTTGAAAGAAATCGGTCCTGTGAGAGCTGAGAAAAAGTGGCAACAGACATAAAAAAAAAAAAAAAAACAT